GAAATCAAAAGTAAAAGATATATATATTCTTAATTTTGATCTTATTTGGTCATTGATAATCTACACATATTTGTAGAGATTTTTCATTTATCTTTACAAATAAGATATAAAATCATATTTGAGATTTAAAATGGTGTATGAAATTTTAGCTAGATTTTTATTAATATACTTCTTAACTATAGCTAACTTACTTTATAATAAGCTATAGATTGGTCTAAATGGCGGCATTTTTTTTAAAGATCAATCAAATAATCATAAGAATAATATTTTAGAAGAATATCTGCATTCTTCTTCTCAACAACATCTTGATAATTTTAATATTGATTTAGAATATTGCTTAAAATCTTTCTACCATTAAAAATAAGTATAGTATAAATAATAAAAAATAATCTTTTTTTGATAGGATACATGAAAGCTCTTGCATCTATCAATAAAGATTTGGTTGTATTAGACTTATGACTTTTTACTTTGTTCTAAGTTAAACTATAAGAAGAATCAAGCTTATGAAGAATCTAATCTATTTGAAGGTTATAATTCTAAAATAACTAAATTAAAAAGAAATTTAACCACATTAAATATTATTAATCTTTTATGTGTATTAATTTCTATATTGAATGAAACAATTTCATAAGTAATATCTTTAAAAGACAAAAAACTGATTATGTATGACTTTTATATGCATAGATTTAATTTTTTTATTATTATTATTTTTTTTTAATAAAGTCTTTGTTTATAAAAAAAAGTTGAGACTCTTAAATCTAATAAGACAAAGATTTTATAATTTTTTTGTCTTAAACAAATATTTTTTGTAAAAAAAATAATAAATATTAAAAATAAATAAATAAATAAATTATTAATTGTTGTAAAAGATTCTAGGTACATAGTCTTTATTGCAGCTAAACAAACTTTTTTTTCAATACATCATCTTTTTTTGGCAACTATGCTCCTTATTTTATGATTGTGTTATTTTATTAGATAATATTGAATAATATACTTAGATTCTCTATAATATAAGAATAATCTTTTTTTATAATGTGAAGTCTTTTCTTATTCAATAAGAAGTTTGAAATATAACATATTACTTTGCATAGATTTTGGCCTTAATAAATAATTCTTTTAAAACTTAAAATTTTTTTTTTCATGACTTGATTTGTATCTCTCTATTCAAATCTTTATTCTTGGCATCTTTTAAAAAGTCAACTGATGCATATAATGGCTTAAACGATAAATTATTTCAATGAATTTGCTTTCAACATTATCAACAATAAATCTCTGATATAATTTTTTAATCCATATTAAAATTGATTGATAAGGACTTTGTCATTCCAATCTACATTGCAAGTAAGGTTATGAAATTCAACAATATATATATATATATATATATAGTGGTTAAATATGATCTTATTGTAAAACTAAAGTTTTGATATTTACTATCCTTTCTTAATTATTTTTTTCAAATATGACAATAAATACTTTGAAGAAGAAATTTAGATTTTAGGAGAGTTGGGAATCTTTTTTTATCAATTGTTCAAACTAAAAGAAAGCACTTCCAAATAATAATAAGACTTTTTGAATTTATTTCTGAGATTAATATACTTGCTTCTCTCAACACCACAATTTCTTGGCATAGATATTGAACTTCAATATTCACTTTTTCAATAGGCATAGAAATAGTACTTCCATGATTCATGTTGGAAATATGTGAGATTTCTATCCTAAGAATATTAAAAATTTTGTGAAAATCTACAATTATTGCAAATCTATTCTTACTTCCGCTAAGTGTAGCATTATAATTTTTCCTTCCATCTCTTCAAAATACAACAAAAGAAGTGGGATAATCCACTTTCTTCTGAAAGAAAACAAAGATAGTGAAATAGTACTCTTATTAAACTATCAAAGACATGAATTAGAAACAAAAAAAATCTTCAATATTTTTTTATATCATTCAAACAAAATAGATATTCATTCAAAAGTAGTATAGTATTAAAACAACAATGACTATTTCCAAAGACAAAAAAACTAGAGACTCTTGAAATAAGACTAAAAACAAAAAAGGCGTTGACAAGAGTGAAGAAGGCTTCACTCTTGCTTCTATATATACTATCTAACTAAGAGCTATGTAACAATGTTCTATAGGATGTTCAATACATATTAAATTTGCAAGATAAGTTTCCTACATATATGCCACATAGCCAACTTATATGACAAGTTGCTAACATGCACAATACATGATCAACTTTTTGGCCAAATTTCCAACATATCAATAAACTATCAACATATATAAAGTCAAATCTACATCTATGAAGCATCTAAGAAGCTTTTCTATAATATATTATTAAATCTATTTATCTTTTGCTTCTGCCTAATACTTCTTATTTAGGTAATAAAGTAAATCTATGATATTGTGTTATCTTTTCTACATAGAATAGAAATCTATCTAAAATACATTCAAATTATATATTATTAGATATTATTTATTTAAAAAATAATAGATATTAAGATTAAGATAGTTAAATATAAAAAATATATAATAATTTCAACTTAAAATCTTTGAATAAAATAATTTTATAATTGAAACTTCATAAAAAGTTGTATTTAATTAAGAGTTCTACAAAGCATACATTTGGTTCTATTAAATACCTATAGTAGAAAAAATAATAATTTTCTAATATATAAAACTTTTATTTTAAAACATTTTAGAATAAAAATAGTTACTTGAGGCAATACATATGTTGTAGGAATTCTTACCATCTTTGTGTCTTTTTAATTGGTTATATTTAATGCCAATTGTAGCATTGCAATTATTATTATTTCTTATTTTTTCTTATTTTTTTTGCTTTGACATTATTAGTTTTTAGTACCTAATTATATATTTAAAAATTATGATATGATAAGAAAGAATAATAGTGTTAAAATATTATTACTTTAGAAGAAATGTTTAGCAAATTATATATTTTGATGCTTTCAAAAAAGACGGTTATTTTTTTATCAATAAAATTAGAAATTATAATTTAAATATTAATCATATTTAAAAAATTAATCATATTTATATATAATTTTTAAAAAAATTAAAAATAAATATATTTATAAATAGAAATATATTATAATTTCAATTGGTAAATACATAGAATTTTAATGTCATAAAATAGAATTAAAATAGAAGAAAAGAAAAGATAAAGATTGAAGATAGTTTTGAGCTTATATCAAATGTATGTTTATATATATATATATATATATATATATATATTACTATAAAAAATAAGAAAAAAAATATATAAAAGACATAACAATAAAGTAAAACTAAAAGGACTGTTGAAAGTAAAAATACATACATATATAATTTAAAATATATGTATTTTAAATATATTTGACTAAAAAGTCACTCTCATCCAAAAAATTAATGTAAAATATTAATGAGAAAATACTAATGAGAGAATGTGACATACCTTCTCTGTTTTTAGAAATCTACCAATAGCTATAAAGACCCTTGAAATTAAAAAATAATAAAATAATAAAAATAAATAAACATATCACTAATATATCATCACAATAATTCCTTTATGTATGCACATAGATGAATGAGATATTCATGCTTCAAACAAGTAATCAAATACATATTTTATACTGTAATCTGAGATTTCAATTATGTAATAAAGGACACCAATCTAGACAAAATGAACGGAGCACTATGTAAACCTTTAATATAAATGGAAGACCATTCAGGTTTTAATACTCAAAGCAATAATTCAAGCATGGATACAGATTTTACTTTGAGCACAGTGGGGTCGCAACAACGCTGACACTACATTGTTTCTGTTCTTTGTCACCCTCGTCACCACCGCCAGCTTCCTCACTGATGGTTACTCAGATCAGGTTTGCTCGCAGAAGGATATATCTCCGTTTCGCTACATTCCTCACCCACTTTCACCGACACAGCGACATCCCCGAGGAGCGCTTGATGTGAATGGCGTCATCACATTGCTCTCATTCGAAAGTCGGGATGGCACGACATTGCATCATATTGACACCACCTTTTCTTTTTTATTAAAAAATCCACTGTTTTTTTCTTATTTTCTTTTTTGTGTGTGTGTATGTGTCGGTGGGTCATGTCACTAGCTGGTTGCTTTTGCCGCGACGCCGCTCCAGTGCCCCCATCAAGCCCAACATTATGCGCTTCGTCACATCTCCAAGTCCTGGGTCGCTGAGATGTTGACACTTGGAGGGTGGACCACAGTAGCGCTGAGCGCAAACTTCGCAAATCCCATGTGAGCAATTAGAGATAAGCGGTGCCGTCCATGTCTTTGATGTCGTTCTCTGTACTCCGCTGCGACTTTCAGCTCTCACTCTCTCGTCATCTTGTTGTCATGACGAGCGAGGTTCATGGCAATTGCTAAAGGTACTGTTTCAGCTGGTCTTCCGTTGTCACTAGGTGGCGTCTATGCACTTACATCTGGTCACACGTATCCATTGAATTAATGTGAAACTGATAGTTCTGAGACGGTTGTAGTGCAAGTTTTGAAAATGTAGAACAGCGGAAAAAAAGAAAAAAATTACTGCAAATGTATGTTATGTTAACCTCTCATAAGGTGGCGCGCAATACCTGTATGAACACTGCATGATCAAGAAATGGATCGATGGAATTGCATATAAATGTGAATTGTTCTTTGTTAGAAGAAATGCTTCCGAAGAAAGCAGCCAACCTTTCTTTGTTAATCTTGAACGAGTGCAGATTTCTCATACAAACTCAAACATTGTCGTGCAAGGTTGTAGTTGAGTGCGCGTAAGTCAAGTTTTTGCCACGGCAGTATTTAGGAAGTAGATGGGGCTGGTTATTATGCATTCTACGTTCTTCTAAAATAAGTCTCTGGAAGTAAAGAAGACCATATATTGCTTAACACCCATCCTTGGGACCTTCTGCTGTTTACAACAAGCAAGTAGATAATTTAAAGCTTGGGAGGGTGTTACTAACAATACACTCCCAGGCTCAATGTCAAACAAGGTGAAAATGGAAAAATTAAAAATGAAATTAAACAGCACAAATCTCAGACTAACCAACACTGATATACAGTTGTTAAATTCACACGGCATTCCTTGGATTGAAAATCAAGCTAAATAATAAAAGAAAGAAAATAAGCACATTGAGAAAGGTCAGGAAAAATAAAGTCGGACTGGATGGGAAAAAGCTTTGCTTTTACAACCCAACAATCCGTGCATTTACAACCGGAGGGGACGGCACCAACGAACTCCAAACTTAATACCGATCGACTGTACAAGTTTCGCAAACCTGGAATGTGAGTCAGATTTCAATGGTAACGTCGAATTCATGATATGTTACAAAACGCCGAGAAATACGCAGAAATCAGTCGTCCCACTCATGAGCTCGTGATTTGAGTGGCGCTAGCAGCTTTGAGCTTCGCAATCGTCTCTTGGAGCTCGGAAACTTTCACTTGCAGCGACTTCACATACTCCACAGTTTCGTCCAGCATATCAGCCGTGTTGGTCGTCTTTTCCATATTGGGCACCAGGTCCTGCAATTTCTTCATTCGCTCACTGATGCGAGTCCGCCTCACGCGCTCCGCTATGCTCCTGGGGTGGGTGGCACATCCACGCTTGGCCCGAGCTCGCATCTGGACGTAATGGTCATCAGTGTTAAGGCTCATGTTTGGCACATCTCCAGATGTTGGCAAGCTCATGTGGCGGATAAGACCAGTGGACTGGTTATTGTTCAGCCGGTATGATTTGGAGTTCAACTCCGAGCCACTCGATATCTCGTTTTCTCCCACAAACCCTCGTTGCCTCTTTCCCCCTGGAGTGCCTGATGAGCAAACATCATATTCCAGACCATTAGTGAATCAAACTCCTGTGAAATCCAAACCTGAACGCACCACATTGAAAGAAAGAATTGAAGATATCAACAGCCAAAAATCTCATAAATTGGTTCAATACCTGGGCTTGTTGGCATAGAAGTCACAGTATCGTTGTTCAACAAATCGTCCTGTGAATACATAGCCGCTTTGAGTCCACTAAGAAGACTGTTATCCTCCGACGTCCCTGAGATGCTATCCTCCGACTGATGCTCCTCTAAAATTTTAGTTATATCTGGCTTTGGTTTTCTCTTCTCTGCAACTGGCACACTCTTCTGGCGTACTAACTCAGTGCTTTTCGCAGGTGGGAAGAGACTTGTAAATGTGTCTGTAAACACCCCCATGAATCGACCCCATAAGAAAACCTATGCATAAAGTTTATGACATCTTGAACAAAAAGAAATACATGAAGAGAAATCTCAACGCACCAGCATTCTGAGTCTTGACGGCACCAAGAGCAGACATTGCAGCTCTTCGACTAAAATCGCTGTCAGGCGATAGGAACTGCTCAAATCCGTTCATACTACTGCCACTATCCGTTCTTTCCACGTCCATCTGCTCAGAAATGGACGTCAGCCCACCCTCAGTGAACAAGGGATCAAAGGTGGAATTTCCTAGGGAAGATGGAATCTGAGAGAATGCGTCATCCGCCAGAGCTTGCATGAAAGCGCTCGGTGCAGAGTGATAACGATGGAGCCCACCCCCAGGGGGTCCAGGGGCAGGGGCAGGGGCCTGGCTCATGATCGGCATGAAGCCGTCGCAAACTGCACCAAAAGAGGAATTTGCGTGCATGTCCAAGACTTCGCCCTTTGCGTCGAGAATCCATTTTTCGTCTCCGTCCATTGGAACCGGCCAGCCCTGATGAGGTTGGCTTGGTCTGAGGTTGGGTAGCCGGGAGTTGTTTACCAAACCTGCACTGGACATACTTGAGGTCCTAGCAAGGCCACCATGGTGGAAGTTTGTTGGTAAAGTTCCGGGATAAGGCGAGATATGGCTAGTGAGGGAGACAAATATGTCCGGATTAGTGGAGGTTTCAGTAGCCATTACTCCAGCAAGGGATGCATCAGAGAAGCTGGCATGACTGCTCTGTAACATGGCTGAAATTTCTTCGTCCAAACTCCCCATCCCTAACATATGCGAGCAACAACACTACAGTTAAAACCCTAAACACAAAACCATTTTCAATTAATTGATTTCTAGCCCACCGAGAATCAACATACCATCCTCGTCCCATTGAACCAGGCAGTAGATTCACAACACAGACAACAGTAGCTAAAAAGATGGCAACCAGTGAATAATAAGTATGATACCTGCAAAGAATATAATCTGCAATATGCTTAATGCAAAAACTCCCACTATAGAAGAGAATAGATCAACCTTGTATTAATTCAACCACTAACTACGAACATGTAGCAGTCGCAAAGGTTGTCTGTGTGACTAGACACGAGACATGAGCATGAGTCTTCTATAATACACAGCAATTGGCCTCTGATCAAATGATTTGAAGTAAAATGATTAGTTTTATTTTCCATATATATGACCACTAATTGGCATAAGGATCCCTGCCTGAAATAGGTCCAATTTCAGATGAATAGCTTCGCATGACTTTAACTTTCAGTTTCGTTGCAGACAGCTATGAAGACAGTGGAGCCGTAACTCGGAATCTTTCTCCAGAGTACTTAGGTAGCCTGATATCAGGTTTCTGAAAAGGCTCCTCCAAGATCCTTCCAAAAATCCCCTTCGTATCACTGAATGCATGAATGTAACTGATTTGTAAGGAACAAGTAGTACCTCACTGATTTAGGTTTTTGCAACGATGAAATCAGTGGTTAGAAACCCCATCTTCTCAAGCCATATTCCTCTTTCTAGCAGGTTGAACTACACGATCCTTCCAAATATCTTGACCAAAACTCAACGTGCATGATCCTCCCCTTCCTGCACACCCAAAAATGCAAGCCCAATAGTAAGGTTACTGGTCAACCAACTGCAGACAACATTATACAGGTCTATTGGGAGAATGCGAAGACAGTAACACAGGACGAGACAGGTTACGTAAGTGTGTACTTTTGAAGCTAATCAAAAAGATATCTAAGTATAGGCGGACTCAAAACAAGCGAAAAGGAACATCAAATCGTCTTCCAGCTGTGAAAGGTCAACAGGACCCCTTCTAATTCCAATCCTACTATCATCTATCTCGTATTGATTTGAGGTTGTCCATCTTATTGTCGCGAAAATCTCCGCAATAGCGCAATCACACATTACATTTTTAACGGCGCTCTGGAGTATAAACGACAACCAGAAATTGTGAGCAAACTAACCACAGCTCTATAACTGTACAGTTAACTGCGTCATGTGTATGTGTGTGCGTGCGTGCGTGCGTGGGTGGGGAGGGGAGGGGAGGGGGGGTTTTCTGGCTCTAACAATGCAATTCGCCTGAGAGTGGCATCAATGTTCCAAAGAATGATCCAATTCTAAAGCCAAGTCTGAGCTTCAATTCGGGATGAGATTCTTGCAAACAATCTGCAGAAGAATCTTATTGAGTATATTCTCGGGATCCCTCACTTTGGGGCACTCTCTAATTTTCGGAGCCATGGAAGAAACTCTACGGCACCACAACCACCATTATACACTCACAAGGAACTCAAAAATCTTCGGGAACTGGATTTGTGTTTGTCAGCTACCCTAATCAACGTAACTGAAAACCCACTGCATCTGTCCACTGCTTCAGCTTTACAGTGACGAACCCGAAAGAGATTCAACAAACTGCAGATGATCGAGGAAAAAGCAATCGCCTCCATCCAAAAAACAAAACCCTTGAACCCCACAAAGGCTGTTGTACGCAAACGCAACTCCATCTACTCGCGAATCCTTCCAGCGCCAAGTCCACAGACGACCCCGCAATGAGAAAAGAACCGCTCTCCCAATCAGTGCTCCAAAGTGCACGTTGGTGCACACTAACTTTAAAAAAAAAAATCAGACACAAACAGTACTTTCTACTGCGACCACGTCCAACGCTTACGTTGCATGATTTGATGGAAGATGCCCCAGTAACTCTCAGCTCATCTGATCCTCTCACTCTCTCACACACTGTTTTCGACTTCCTCCCTAGCTCTCTCAATTAGCCCTCCTTGTGTGCTCACTCGTCAGCCCAATTGCAGTGCATCAAACGTCGCAACATCTGATTCGTCTCCTCTGCATGCAACCAAATCCAACCGACCTTGGAAAACTTCCTCTCCTACTGCCGCAACGGCGTCTGCTTCCTCTGAGAGACACGCAAGAGGAAAACTCCGGAGCACGATGATGCAGACTGGCACCCAGATAGTGACAAACTGTGATTTCAAAGTCGGAGGCTTCTTCCAATCCCTTCTTCCTCTCCCTCCTCTTCCTCCTCCCTCGTTTTGCAAAATCGTCGCAGCACCGTAATCTATTTTCCCTTCTCCGAGAATAGTGTCGGAGACTGTCACGGCCCTCGCTCGCTGCCTTGCGTCTCATCGATGCTTCGAGATCTTTCACTCCCTGCCCTGCTGAGGTGGCACCCCCCAATTCCCACATGGGTAAGAGTGACGCCACATCACCCCCCTCTCACCGTGCTTCACGGAATCAGGCTCACACGGTTATAGGTCGTTTCAGTTGCTAGGGAATGAAGGCGTGGGGGGGGGGGGGTAGGTTCCTTTTTCTTTTCTTTTTTCTATCAATCTGATGGTTTGGGATAGTCGGAATTCGGGATGTCTTATTCCCTCTTGCTTACTTGTCACTAACTCATTGGAATTTTAAACTTAATCTTTACTCGCGATTTCTATTTTTCTTTCTCTATGGCTTTATTCTCCTCCTTTTTCCCGTTTTCACTTGCTCTTTTTGGTTTACTTTTTATTGCTTTTTGCTTTCCTTTCTTTTTTTTTCCTCTTTTTTCTCGTTTTAAAGAATAGTATGATGCCACCTGTGCACCCACCTACATCCTCCCACACGACTTGAGGGACTGGCTAACTTTGAGAGGCTTCCACAAGCTGCCCTTTACACCAGAAAATGCCTGATATGAGAGGAAAAAGAAAAAATTAACTTAAAAATAAATAAAAATTAAAGCCTTGGCGTGGCCTCCCTCTTCAAAAAACAGCTCTGGATAAAACCACAGCAATGTGCTACTTAATCTCCATTTCAACCACTAAAAAGGCCCAAATGGCTTTTCATGAGACCATTGAGCTGGTTATACATCACCAAAATTTGTGGGCTGAACGGTTTTCATTCTCAAATTTTGTGTAACCAAGCTTATTTAGCTGCATGATAGAAACCCTAGACTCAGCATCTGTTTCTTAAAATACCTTGTCTTGGAACGTTCTATTCTGCCTTGAAAGGTTGTATCAAAACCCAGTTGAAGTTAGGACGTTTAAGCAGGTTGTGTAGGGAGATATTTTCCAAAATTGAAGTTTTTCATGGAAAGACACATACTTTAGATGTGTTCTTTTCCTTTACAAAACGATTGACCTGAATAGTATCCTTCAGAAAATGACACTTATAGTCCTTGACAGATGTGAGCCATGAGATATCTAAGGATAATAATATTAAGCAACCTATACCAAGCCTTCAATACACAAGTCTTTGTGGGCCCACATTGAACTTGAGCCTCTACTTTGTTAAAGTAGGGCTCTATATTAAGGTGGTGGTACTAATATCAGGAGGACTTTAACCAACCCATGAACATCATGTCACAAACTCATTGAACACACATGGAAGCCAATTATCTCTGTCACCCATCTCAAAATAATTGAACATTCTTCCAAATTTAGGCATGCATCATTTATACTTTCATAATTTGCAAATTTTATATTGTTGATGAGATAACCACAAAACACTCATAATTATGAATTTGAATTCATAAATATGTTGTAGTTCAATGATGACTACTTCAAGAATTTTGTATGCTTTGAATCTACACACAATAATGGTTTTAACACCCAATCATGTTGCTTTTACAATAATTGCAAGTTTTAATCTTCATGAGGCATTTGTGAGTTTGCAACTTCATGTCCAAAAGTGCCAATTTGAAAGGCATCTAGCTACCACAAGTTACAATTAACATCTCCTTTCTTCCTTTCTTTGTGTTTTTTAAATGCAAATACACTATTTTTCTTTTCTTTTTTCTTCTATGAAATGACCTTGATTTCACAACCAAGCACTTTCATTCCCAAGTCATGTTCAAAACATGGTGATAGAAAAAGTCTATTGCAATCTTTCCTGAGAGATTACACGTAAGTGCTTTGTCTTTTGACATAATAAACTTCATGTGTGAAAATAATCATGAAGTTTCAACATTTCAAGGAGGTTGGAATGTATACTTTACACTGGGTGATGCACATTCAAAATTCAAGGAATAATTTAGTGCATAGAAATGGAGGGTAAAAACTAATACAATTAGTTGTACAAGGAATCAAATTATGGTCTGCTGTTAAGAAATGTCATACCTTAAAAAAAGCCAGCAGGATAAAACTTAATGCATCTATGAAAATCTGTCAATACAGGACTAAATTTAAATAAAAGAAGAAATAGTAATAGAATATAATGTATTTAATTGATGCAAGACAATGCCAAGACTGAGACAAGTAAATAAAATAATCATTAGTTTCCAAATACCATTTTTCTTGAATATACATATAAAAAAGTTTAACTTGTTTGATTCTTACCCTAAAACAAGTGAATTTAATTGTATTGGGATTGACTTTTAACAACACACCACAGGAAAATAGAATGTACAATACACTAATACATGTCAATTAATACAATTCCATTAAATTGCCATTTCACAAAATTGTTTTAATTCATGCCTAAAAATTATTTTGTTCAAATATCTCACACATCTACTTCCAAATTGATGAACAAAAATTCAAACAATTTTTGTAAATGTAAGTATATTATAAAACTATGATTCATTTTAAATAATAACTTTGGTGTAAATGAAATCCTATGTACAAACAATGATTAGTATTTATTTAACATGTTCTCAGGGTTTTAATTCAGAAGCCTGTTTTATTAATATTAGTTGTGTTTATGTTCATTTTTTGCTTTAAACAACATCATTGACTATTTGAATGTTTTTTCTTGTTAAAACGAATATCAAATTAGTCATTTGATTATAATGAAAAAGAGTACAATGTTTGTGGATTGTAACAATATGTGAAAAGACCCCTAGAAGATAAACTTTGCACAATCATTGAATATAGAGTACTACTAATGTCACCATAGTTTTTGCTATTCCAACTATCCACAACCAACTATCCACTTCACATTTTATTAATTAATTAAATAAATAATTAATTATTTTATTAATTCATTAATAAAATAAAAAATTATATTCAATCAAATGGTTCGAAAGGTATTGAATATAGGTGACATGTGTTAGATGGAGAGTTGTGATGGTAGTAGCAAAAATTGAAGTAGAATTAGCAATACCCTATATAATAATAACAATAATAATAATATATTTATTTTTATTATTCTTCTAACCTTTAAATATATATATATATATATATATATATGTGTGTGTGTGTGTGTGTGTTAAGGATTTGAACCATGCAAAAAAAAAAAAAAAAAAAAAAAAAAAAATCATTCATCCAATGAGCTACATGTAGAATTATGCAACTCCAACTGATATATCTGTTACTTGCAATGCAAATCTTCATGGTAAAAAGAAAAAAGAAAACAAAAAATACATAAGTAAATAAATAAAAATGACTACATAAACACCAAAATTAAACCCATCGAAAATAGGGTATAGCTGTACGTATTTAGTTTTATTTGATCTAAAAATTAAAAATCATATTCCTATGATGAAGCCAATGACTTTCCGAAGCATCCAGCATATTCGCAAGTTCTGGAAAAAGCAAAAACCCCTAGTTCTCAAAACTGAAACTGAATTAGGGTTCTCACCCAGAATGGGTGCTTTCGAAGTTACGCAGCGATCATACACAGCCGTTGACCCCGCATCCGAGGAAACCTCGGCGAAACGCAAGACAGATATGATGAGACCCCCCGGAGATCGGGTGCCAGGGTGTTGTCCAACTAGGACCATTTGCTGGCCACCTGGACAATTACTCCTTCCTCCTCCTCGTTTTTGGTGGCCTTCAGGACACGTTACAGTGGACTATTTTTCCACGTGTGTGTCAATGGTTGTACCCATTCGTACGTGGGCTTCGATCGTGCGCTGGAGAGTTTCGAACCCGAGATAGCGCGTGTCCTTTGCAGGCCCCTCACATGCGGTGGCGGACAGATTGCCATCTGTGGAGTGGGAGGCAGCAGCTTTCTTCGACGGATATGGGCCCCACCACTGTGAGCGCCTAATTCCATGACCTGTCCAATTTGAAAGAGTGGAGGCTGGAGGTCTTAACTATGCAAAATGGTGATTGTAACTCTTGGAACGGACTTTGGACGGCAATTGTGCTTCAAGGAAGACAAGAATGAGCAATTTCAAGCAATCCAAAGAAGTATCACATAACCCTAAAATTTGGATACTCTAGTTTGAAAATTATATGCTTTGTTTATTGCTTTTGAGTATAGATCTTGATCAATCCTTGATAATAGTGTAGTACTAGTATATGCATTGGAGGTATCTACATTGTGGATGATACCATTGCATTTGCTCAATCCAATCCTTGGTGAAAAGCGTTGAAGGTTGTTAAGGCCACACACTTTCTTTTCGGACCTAAATTGCAACTTACACTCTCAATAGATACTTTGGCTCTTATTGACAAAGTTGCCTAAACTCTATCCAGTTTAATTCTAATGAATTTTGTTCCAATAAAACATCTTTCAAACGTAGAACTGTAATATTAGATCAATGTTAAATTCATTAAATCCTTAATGGTCGTATCTCAAATCCAAATGCTTCAATACAACTACTTTGTACTTATTTTTTGTAATAGAATTGGAACAAAAGAATCCCTTAATTAAAGTTTGTTCAATTTCAACATATACTTTTTGTATTTACAACAATGGCATCGATAATTTGATATATAAAATCTAAAGAATCAAAATTTCATTATAGATTAAATTCTTGAAGGTGAATGATATCTTCTATAGAGCCTTATTCTTGGTATGTATATAAATCAAGAAAATAGTGTAGACAAGAATAAAAGAAGATTATTTGAAAAAAATCTACTATCTTTATATTGTATATTCTATTTGATAATATTAAGAAAATCTTATTGTCTATTATTCTATTTATTTCTTTTATAAATGAAGAATTTGAAATCCAATTGAAATACAAAGGCATTTTTCATAAATATAATCTATACTTAAAGTTGGAATATGAGACTACATATTATCACTATTGGTCTTATATTAGACCATATAACAATAAAATCCCTAAAAAACTAAAAGACCCATCTTGTCTAGTAATGGCATTGATAATAATAGGTATCCATACAATAATCATATGCTCATAAGTAACAGACTTAGATGAAATATAAACCATAGAATAAACTATCGTTGTAAC